TTATGATTTGTATATGATTCTGATCCTGAGATGTAAGTAATTTAATGCAGTGTTATGAGCTAAAATCCTGATACAGCCCAAGTTTAGTAGAAAAGCTAAATTTTCGAATCAATCATTCTTTTACAGCGGGATGCCATATTATCGGCTATAAAACGCGTCGCGTGTCGGCTTTGGAAGAGGCATTGTACCGTGCCCAATCCGCTTGATATTCCCCCATGCAAAAAAGATACGAAAAATAAAGAAAAATAAGAAAGTATGGTGAAAGATTTTAGGGCGTCTAATGTGTGTCATTCGGATCGATATACTGAAAATCGCACGATTTTTATACCAGAAGTGGTATGTAAGTTCAATGTAAGTTGTATGCGCTAAAATAGTTTCAATTTGCGGAAACTAATGTCTAAAAGAGAAATGCACATATAAAACTGCTGTTTCCAAGCGAATTTCAATTTTGAGAAGGACTAGAAAATATTTGTTATTGAAATTATTTCGCGGCTCAAATATGTCTCTCACGTTCAATAATGCTGATTGGATATTATGTGAAACTGCTAATTATCTGGTAAATTGAAATTCAAACACAGTTCTAATGGAACAAGGTAATTGAACTAAATAAATGGATGTTTCCCAGTAGTAGTTTTAGTAGCGTGCGGAATCAATATACCCTTTTTACTGTAGATAATTCATTTGTTTTATGGAACTGTAGTTGCTGATATTCGATTGATTGTACAGGACGTACAATTTTTCAATTAAGGTTTTTTTAGATTTTGAACTTATACGTACACATATAATGTATGTTATACTGGATAGATCTTCTTATGAGCCTGTTTAATTGAACTCTTTATGCCCATAAATAAACACAAAATTATTTTATAGTTTTAAGATTCCGGCAGTGATTATGACGAGAACTAATATTAATATGTATAAAATATTTTGCACCTTACAAATTACTTTAAAACTGTTAGCATCTAATTTAATGCTGATATAATTATCTTGAACTAATGGTAATTACGAAACGTAAGACGCAGAAGAAAGAAAAGGAAATACACAGACTGAAAGAACAACTGCCAGCATAGTAGATGCATATAAATCACTGTAATAAGAGAAGACAGTTGCCAAATTTAATAAGCTCAAAAACAAAAATTTGCGAAATGCAAGGATCATTGACTTGACGAATTTAAATAGTCGAAAGGAAATATTTCAAGGTGCAATAACAGACAATTCAGGCGAAATAATTGCATGCATTTTCCTGGCCAAATATTAAAAGACCAATGCAAAAATACAGAAGGTAATCAAGCTATCAACGCAGAAGCAACACAAGCTATCACTGCAACTGAAGTTCTATCAAAATTCAGAGAATTGAAGACGGAAACAAGCTACGCAAGCAAAATAATAGCGGTTATTGAAAAAAAAAAATTAAAGTTATTGAAAGAGCAGAATTAATCAGGTCAGAGGGATTGGACTACAAGTTAAAGAAGACACACAAAAATATTTAAGATGATGAACAACTGATAATTCTAAAATAAAATTGAACTACTATAAATTTTGTCCGATTCACTGCTCCTGACTCAAAAAAGTGTTTCATAAAAGTTTTGAAACTAAGAATTTTTCTCTCTTAATTTATCGTCTCTAAAATTTATATTTAGTCGGAATATTTGCGTTTGAACGTAGTTTAAATTTCGCCTTATTCCAACGGCTTGTATTAATTACTGGGTTAGATGTGTTTAAGTGGGAGCATGCTGCTCAAATATTCCGTTTATATATTTCGTTGATTCTTCAGCAAAAATGTACTTTTATCTGAATTTTCGAAGGCTTGTACGCATTTGCTCTACTTCATCTTGTACTAGGCTTTATAAAATATTTGGATATGCAAAAATAGTTGTAACTGTGCATTTTCGCCAAAATTCCGAGATCTCATTCAGTCTCGCAATAAAAAATGTTAATGTAATGATAAAAGACCTTCCTCATTTCGTTTTAATATTTTAATTGCAGGTTGCGCATTCCTAACGTACTTCAATCCAGAGAGCGCCCTCAACTGCCAGAACGCTCTGCATGAGAAAACCACGTTAGCAGGGGTGAGTGGCTTTATAATGTTTAGTGTTTCTTTAATTTTCAACTTATGAATTTCGACGCTAAATTTAGTTACTGAAACAGGTTGGTTATTCCTTGTTCGGTAGAATTTTAAGTTCCACAGTTAAGATACAATATTTTAGATTTTATTGTTTTACACTACTAATGATGGCTTAATTTAGGTAGGTACACATGAGTCATAATTTTGAAAGCGCGTTTTGGTAGGGGATTTTCAGTTTTACAGTGCTTTGGTCAGTTTATCAGGTACTGTACAAGAAAGGTTGTAGAGTGTAACAAGGTAAAGCGAGCTAAAATTTGAAACTCTACTTGTTTTAAATAGAGCATGAGCTACTTTACTTTGGTCTCTATGAATATACAAAACTGAAGAGAACAAACTTTTATATTTTAAAGGGTTTTCTCTTACATATTCTAAACGTCCACGGAAAAGAACATGAACGGTCAAGTCCAACGATATATTCATTTGGAATCGTTTCGGATATATTGGCATTGATCTTCAAGATTCCACGTATATTTGACGACTTGAACTATCAGTATTAATAGAGATATCGGAAATGTAACTGCATCCTCGGATAGGTTTATGCACGTTTAAATTTTGAGTAACATCAAAATTTAGAATCGAAGTTTTCAAACAGTGTTGTCAAATTTTTAACAATTTCAGCACTTTGTATTCTGAATGAAACCGAATATACTCAGCTTTCCAAGAATAATAAATGTATATTTGTTTGAATCGGCAAGGCATTCAAGCTTAAATTAAGTTAAGCTTTGTCCAACCGCTGGTTGAACTCTTCAAAAATGTCGGGTCTTGAAATTTAAAAAATATTTATATGCCAAATTTTTAATACTATTTTTGAAAAGTAATACGGTATTTAACACCAATATCTGAAATATATTTTCAACAACTTCCATGTAATGCGCTAAATAAACCTCAATTTAGGAGTTTGGAATAGAAATATTATGAGTTGGGTCTTCAACACTGTTTAAAAGGAAGTTATTTTTCGAATCGGTCGGTTATTAGTGTAATAACCTATTCGGTTCCTCTAGGTATCTCGTCTGTTTAAATTTCGACGGATCGTAACAAAATTAAACTGGTTCCTATCTAGAAAATATCGAACGAAATATTGCATAATGCACATCGCGATTCAAAGTGTTCGGATCTCGATCAGTTCGTTCCCTGTTTCCTGCATTATCAGCGATCTGCTTTGTGCCAGAAGCGCTACGCTAACTCAAATTGAATTTGCCGTTTCTATTGCTGTATTTTAAACATGATCACACGCTGTAGCGAGACGTGCTGTTCTGGATTTAGTTTTGAGTGTCTCTCTTCGTTCAAGATGTTCCGTTTGAAATGCAACGAAAATAAATTAGTTAGCATAGATAATTAATTTGTAAGACACTATTTCATTGTTTGCATCAAAATGTTGAGTTATTAAGTTTATACCTCGTGCCACTAATGCGCTGATGTGCCTAGTAAAGAAGGCGATTTTCCGAAATTGTCGCAAGTAATGAGTAAAGCCACATTTTTAAATAGTGAAATTATTGAAGAAATTTACGGTCAGACTTTATTTTCGAAATCAGAACACCAATTTCCTTCTCAATGTAGCATCTGACTATTACCGGGCTGTTACCCAAATAATTACTATCTTATGGAAAGTACCATTTGTTTTCATACCTTTTGGTTTTTTTCTATCGTTTTCCACATTTGATTCCCCAAAAGATGGTATTATAATAATGATTCCCCAAAAGTGTTGGTTACAATGGATACACGATAAAAAATAATTTACTAACAGTACAACAATGTTTGGATTGCCTGAATTTGATAAACCTTTAACGCATTTAATGACTAAAACAGTTGTAAATTGAAAATTTTCTATAGGCTACTAATATGGCTTCCTTTAATCACTTTTCAGGAACAAGATTCCTAACATAACTGGCATGGTTGATTTTCATTAAATTTTTGTTGGGTTTGATCCTTTTTACTCACTGGTGTCATTGTCACTGTTGGTTTCCATTTCTTGCTTTTCCTTCATCAAATCGGTGATTTGATGATCAGTTACTTAAACAGGTTGTGTTAATTTTAACTAATCTTAACCTCCTAATTAATCCAGTGATGAACTTGATGATTTTTTTAACCTTCAGGCGGCAGTAGAAAATTATTTATTTCTGACCTGTCGTAAATACGAGTGAACGTGTTTCTTCATGGATGACCAAAATCCAACTGTTTCTGGAAAGCTGGCACTGAACGGAAAACAAAGTTTAAAACAATAACCTCTAAAGAATATTGCTTTCAAAAAGCTATGTTGTGCGATTTATATCTGTTTCATAGTTTTTGCAACAAATTGGCAAATATACTGGCAGACAATTTTTGTTTTTTTTTAAGACCTGTTGAAAAAGATTTAAATTGTTGCTACAGAACAGCCTTTGCCAATTACATTGCCAAATTAAACACTTTTTGACTTTATCCTCTAATTAAGAGACTAGAGATTTGGATATCCGATATATTCATTAACTTCTTGCACTTTATGGCCACCTGACATAAAATCAAGGGGCATCCGATCCGAAGGTTTTGCAGGTAATTTCCATTCAATGGCCTGCCATATCCAAATTAACCCTCCATTATAGAAAATGGAATAATTTCGTTACTGTGTGCGGTCTGGATATCCTGTTAGTGTTAATTAATCATGCAGCTTGTATCTCCCCGTCGATTTTTTGCTTTTCAGCATTATTCAGTTTAACTGCTGCTGTTTTTCAGTGGAGTCAAGAAAAACAATTAACGTGCGATATTCGGAATCAGTGAACCGAGAAATGCAAATAATTCCAGTTCAACTAGATGTTTCAAATCCTGCCAATACCCGAGCAATAGTTAATCGGTCGAATCGGGATCAGCTTTTCAGCGTTCCCGTATTTTTCAGAAGCTAAAAACGCCTGGAAATTGCTTGGCGCGCGTTCTGAACTTGGGTTATGCTTAACTTCAACCGGCAGGCACGCGATAATATAAACAAACATGTCGACGGAGTAAAAAACTATTCCATTTTCCCAGTTGGGGCCCAGATTGCCTCTCCGTTTAGATTGGTTTTTATCGAGATCGGGACTTTATTTATGTAAAATTTTCTGTTGGAAAAACGGAACATACGTGTCTCTTTGTACTGGCTTTGGTGCGGAGGTGCTGCAACATAATCAAATTACCTTTTACTACTAGTTACAATTTTGTCAGTGATACTTTCTAGTGAAGTTTTTCAGTGAACACAACGGACACTACTCACAATGGAATATGATTTATTTGTCTATCCGGAGCTGTTGGCCTATTATGACCCTGCAACTTTGGTATGTGGAAGACTTTCCAATATTAATTGACAATTTATGCGAAAAATCAGCGATATTTTATTAATAGTATCAATTTATAAGGGATGGTTAAGAAAAATTGAATTGAATTGTAATTTTTCACCATCAATAGCCGTATATTTAAGCGGAATGTATGTGTATCTTCACATAAAGGAATGCGCATGAAACGGCCCCAGGAGTTACGACTTGAAATATTTATTTTTCATTATGAAATTTTATGGATGGAATTATAGTAGCAGACATCTGAGAAAATTTTGGTGGCAATGGCGGGATAAAATTATGTTAATATTATTTTTAAATTATTGTTTGAATTAAAGATGTTCTAACAAAGCAGTTTCGAACACATTGGGAACATGTTTAAATTTGGAATCCTATAGTATTAAAGGCCGCCACTTCTTGGAATACAGAAGAAATATTCCGTTTGTTGCTATTGAAGTACGATTAAAACTCACAACAAGTTTGGTTGAAGTAGAGCGTAAATAATGCACCATTTTATAAGTGAAATATTAGTTAGTGTTTTTGCAGACTGAGGTCAAATTTTGAGCAACCTAATAAATTAAACGAAAATGAATATTCGTTGCTATGGGCCGCTTTTAACCACCTTCATTTTCATTTTCTTAACTTTATTGCAATAGTTACACAGTTTGCAAGTTCACAATATTTGCTAACATTTTTATTTAAAATCTTCAGCTTCAATATTTTCTAAAAGTAATTCAGCAACCGGAAGCAATTATTATTTTTCGAAAATATCAATTAGTGACTGTATTCAATATGGAATTATTATGTTATTCTATATTCCTGTAAATTTTTCCTTATTTGTCTGATCCAAATGGACAAAGTTTGATTCTATGTTCAGACATATATAATCTCAACGCGCAAGTATTAAGTTAATTCAGCTAAATATTCCTCAATTTATAGTTAATCTGCTTAAAATTATACTTGAAAGATATGCTGCGTCGTGCTAAGAGATTGCAGTTAACGATTTATAATGTAGTCAGTTTGCAATACATTCAAGAGTAAAGATTGATGATGTCCAGCATAAATCGCATGTGTGTTTTTTCATATAGTAATAATACTCATTGATGCAACACTTTAAACACTGTTTTTTTTTTCTTAGTTTCAAGTTTTTCTGATTAATTTCGCGATTATTTTTGCTATTAAAAATGAAGATTTGACATAAACTGTTTTACATGGTAAAAGTATGAATTGTGCCGAAAGAAAATTATAATTTAACTACATGAAAGAATCATCTTTAGATTTGTATCAATTATTCGTCGTGATCAGCGCAATTTTACTAGCTAAAATAACGGCATCTAATTCGATAAAACGTTTCGCACAGGTCATTTTCTGAATCACTATTTTTTACTATCGGAACAATGGCCGCTGTTAAAAATTCCAGAAATAAAGTTATGAATGTAAGTTCTGATGTAAACACATTAAAATTAAAGGTCAACATTAGTTAGCGCGATTATATGAATTGCAAGTTTTACTCATAAAATGCAGAGAATGGCTCGACTTGTAATAACATTTTAGATTGGGGTTTATAATGCAACTGTAAAAAACTGTATATGTAAAACTGTATATGTAAAACTGTATGTATTGCAACTGTAAAAAACATGCAATTTTCATTTTCAGGATTGTGAACTTTGTGTTCCAGATTTGATTTATATTGTCTCCTATTAAACAGCGTTAATCAACTTGCCAACAACTACTAGAGTTAGAAAGTGTTGTGAGTTTCTTATTATTATAAAACAATATTTCAAACTTCTTTAGCTATTCGTGTTATTCCAGGCGCACATTTGCCGCAGATGAAAATGGCCAAATATACACTGACCATTGAAAATGCAAAATAGCGTTAACATATGGAAAGTTCAATCCTTATTGGATAAATGTTCATAACACCAGAAATTGAAAATACACGATTTCCTTCGGTCGAAAATAGAACGTGACGCAGCAGATCGCTGTGTTATTTCCTTGCCCAGTTAGAAAAATATTTCCACCAAAGAATGTTTACTATTCATCATGATTAGAATGTAGAATTACACATGCGATGCATGTCCATTTATCTTTATTCGGCTACCACTGGGGTCACGCCTAAAACTAGTTTTATTTAAACTTTTCTCACATCCCGCAGCGATTTTTTAGCTTTGTATTGAGATAAATTGCCTACCTGTTATTTGGTAGCCGATATGGGCGATATGTAAAAAGATGTTTTCAAAAAATAAGTGGCATTACACAGACAGCTATAATTATGGCTTAATTATTTGCTATTGAAAAATGTTTATTTTCCTGCTTTTAATAAAAATCTGTCACTTAATTCGTATGACTTTTATTATCTTGATCTTACGCTTCCTCAAGTTATTAATCGAATTAGTTATTCATTTATATTTTTAACATGATGATATATTTTTTATAATATTATTCAGCTATATAAAATATCTTTACGCTTACGCAGATTTACTCCCACAATTCATTTTTGCTTATGCAAATTAATATTTTTGAATCTTTAATATACAAGTTGAAAATATTATTAATTTTGAAATACTTGCTTTGCTTTCAACAGCTTTATTTATTATTCATTTCAGCAAACTCTAGACACGTATAATACGAAATTTCCATTTCGATTTATTGCAGTCAAACTCGATTTCATACCTATTGTTCTTAAATATTTTATATCAGCAAAAGTCGATTCAATAATTGCATATGTCTGCATATGAGATATTGCATATCTGAGCCCCAATTAAAATTTAATTATTGAACAACATTTGTTCGCTTCAGTTTCCATGCGAATCTTCCTCAGTGCATTTAGCTCCATTTATATATTTTGAGAGTACATTTGCATATTTTTAAAATCTCGATTATTTATGTACAAATAGTGGCAAATTGGTGGGCACTAACAAGAATAATGCTAAATAACTGCATAAATGCTTTCAGCAAACACAATTTTGCGTTTTATAAATTACATTTTGTGGTTAGTTGCTAGGATCATAATGCGTTTTGGTCGCCCCTAATGATTGGGTTATATGAAATTCCGTGGTCTATAATTTAGCGTCTGGCGTTAAGCATACATTAGCATTTTCATATGTATTTTTGTCATATGAATCGCATTAAGTTCTTTAAAATACAACAATAAATAAATGTTTTTTTGTAGTCTATTATAAATATAGCGACATGATAAACATTTGCGGTATTTATCTCATGCATAACGTTATGCAGATAGAAACATATCGGTTCTACTAATATTAGTTGATCATTCATTAAACGAAAAAATTAATGCTTTCGTTTGTCGTTCAAATTAAATTGCAACCTGTCCAAGAAGTTTTTCATTTCAGAAAGGAACTTTAAATCCTTTGAATTATTTTCATATCTGTTGGGTTCGCTCTGATGTAATTTTGTCCTTTCTGGTCATCCAAACCTGTATAAACTTTTGCAATACCGTCATAGGCCCCCTAGACCCTATTCGAATATTTACAATTCCATTTCTGCTTCAGTGCTAAATTATGTAACCTAAATACCTGTTGAACTTGGTCAAAATGTGGCTTCATATTTTTTTCAGAGCAATCCGGAAAGTGGCGCTTCGCTCGCATCATTATCTCAATGAGCTGTTTGTTGTATTCATATTTAATAAAAGGAGTTTTTCATGGTAAAATGTTATTACGCAAATTTTTCACAACAGGATTAGGAAATTTGGCATATTTAACATTTGGCTTTCTCGCACTCATCAAGGACATATTTTAACCTTGTTGTGTTAAGAAGTTTTCCAGTTATAAAAATTTATTTAGAAATCAAATCAGTTGATATACATTTCCTTGCGATTTAAGCATTCTTTAAAGCTTCAATTGTTCCTGTCTTTTTATTGGCTGGTGGGCCCATATCTCCATTCAATCTAGACTGGATTTTGACCTTTAGTTACTGAGTTTCTTTGCAGGAAATTCACTCTTTGCTTACTTCCGCTTAATCTATTCTTCAAATTTTGGAAACTAGTTGAGTTTTTTATTTTTTCAAGTTTTACATAGCGATCTAGGTTCTACACATGTATGAGTATATATATGTAGGATTCGTTTTATTACATCTTAACACATTCTATTAGTTTATAAATTTTTATCTAAATGCACGTTTGTCGAATTGCCTTATATTCATCTATTTTTTCTGATAACGTTTAGCTGAAATATTTTCAATTATCTATTTAGGCGGATGTATAAAAAGTACCTGACTCCTATTGTTCCATGTCTTAGGTTTTGGAATAATGTTGTTGCGCGTAATGTTTTGTTATTGTATTTTTCAGTCTGTTTTGTATATTGCAGAGTTGAAGTGTTGCTCCTATTAAATAACTAAAAATTGTTTTTTCAATCTTGTTAAATTTTTGCTTAATACTTATGAAGTTCAAATGAAAACGGACAACACCGAACAAAAACTACTAGAATCAGCTAACAACATGCTGATAAAGTCCATAATGTTCCATCATAAGGACATACATAAACAAACCTGGGTATTTAACTAGCATGTGGCCCGTAACCAGATTGACCATGTCGTGGTGGACGCTAGGCATGGGAGATACCTAGATGTAAGAAGCCTTAGAGATAATTTTCTCGTAAAAGCCAACTCCAAATCAGAATATCGAGTCATAAAAACCAAAAAAATAAACTACGGAATCCAGCAGATCAACAAAAATACTAACAAGAACTGGAACAGAAACTCACTGAGAATGCAAATCGCACATTGGATGTTGAAGGTTTGTGGAACTATATTGAACAAACGATAAAAAAGACAGGAATATTATCGGGACAACCAAAAAGACAACAACTAAGTCATGGATAAGTGTCAACAAAAACTGCATGAAAGAGAAACTTTTAGAAAAGCCATGTTTCAACACGATACACCTGAAAAGCGAGAAAAATATGCAAACACTTGTAAAGAAACCAACAAGTTGATAAAAAGACAAAAACAAGAGCATGAATGTCGAAAATACGCGAATTCTATAG